ATAGGCAAGGCAAGAACTGCATTTACCATGCTAAAGAACATCTGGGCCTCAAAGAACATCCGCATTACCACCAAACTGCGGATCCTCAACTCTAATGTAAAGTCCGTCCTATTGTATGGTGTAGAGACGTGGAGATTGACCAAAGCAACCCTGCAGAAGATCCAGACATTCTACAACACCTGTCTCATGCGCATCTTCAACACCCGATGGCCTGAAAGGATCTCAAATGAAGAACTATGGAAAAGAGCAGGACAGGAACCAATGGACATACAAATCAGACAGAGAAAGTGGGGCTGGATTGGACACACGCTAAGGAAGCCACAATCCAGCATCACACGCTAGGCCCTGACTTGGAACCCACAGGGCAAAAAAAAGGGGACGTCAAAAGAACACCTGGAGGCGTGACTCGGAGTCAGAGCTAAAGACACAGGATATGACCTGGCAAGATGCAGTAAAAGCAGCCCAGAATCGAGTTCGTTGGAGGACTGTCGTCGATGGCCTATGTTCCTTACGGAACGACAGGCCTAAATAAGCAAGTAAGTTTGGTGATAATCTGCCGAGTGGTTTTAAAATTTTATAGCAATCACTACTTTTATTTCCCTTATCTCTTCTTGTTTAAGAGTCATATTCCTATATCTAGTGTGAAAGCCATATTCTGTGACAAAAATTTGCCAAGGGGTTCTTGATATATGGCCCATATTCCAAAAAGTTCATGCACACCGCACAAATGGCCATAGCATTACATGCACTAGCTCTTGGGGGTCATAAAACTTATATGAGCTCACTTTTGATCCCAGTCTCGCTTTTACACTATTAATTCCTTTTGTTAAACTGAGATTGAGATAAAAAAAAATGAGCGTCCATGTTTTATGGCCCCAGGGCCAGAAGAGCTAAACACAGATTTTGTAAGATCAATATAAGACCAACTTATTCCAAACTATGGCCTGGAACAGGTTGAATTTTACAGTGTTGGTAAAAGGCTTATTGCTTTTTTAAAACAATCATGCCAACAGTTTGAATACTTGATGTTTAGGAGTATAGAGGAAATATTTGAAGACTGCATTAATTTTGATGGGTTTGGCCACACTTCTCAGGGATACAAGTGACTATAAAATTCACGTTCTCTGTTCCCCTCTATCCATAGGTGCATAATACTTCAACATGTAGTCGAAATTAGTTCCGGTATTTTATAAAGGAAGCTGAAAATGTTCAAAAGTTAACAATCAACGCACGACGTTCAATGACGGAATAAATCAGATAGCAACAGGTCGCCGAGTGACTCATGTGACCTAAAAATTGATTTTTGTACTACTAATTACAAATCATAAACTAAAAACAAGCATGATTTGACTTTTGTTTGTTTGCATGTCATTTAACGTCCCTCTCGAGAATTTTTTCACTCATATGGAGATGCCACCACTTGCCGGTGGCGGGCTGCAAATTTTAACCTATGCTCGGCACTCAGTGCCATTGAGCAGTGAGGGATCTTTTTCGTGCCAACATCTACTGCGACATGGGACCTCTGTTTATACAGTCTCATCCGAAGGACTGGTCTCCATGTCCCGCAGTGGATTCGAACCCGCGACGTAAGGATCAACTCCTTCCCCCGCGACTCTAGAGCAGACGCTCTAACCACTGCGCCGTGAATTGACTTTTGTTATTAAAAAACAGTTTACCATTTTTCGGCAGTTAAAAAAAAGAAATACAGCTGTACATAATCCCCCTCCAAATCTCTATATTTTTCTTCTTTTGACGATTTTTAAACAAAGGACTATATTCTTTAATGAGCAATATCCCCCCCCCCCCCCATTTCAAATGAAATTTGATGGAAAAATCAGGTTATGGTCCTAAAGGCATAACCTATTTTCATCAGCCATGACGCCATATGTCAGATATGACGTCAAGAAGATAATGTAAATTCAAAATTTCAATCAAAAGGCCCATGGGCCACAGCGCTCACCTGGGTAACTATCGCTCTTCTTGTTCTTCATCAGCAGATTATTTTTCCTATATATTTTTATGTAAAACTTTGATTGCCCATCGCAGCCCCACCCTACCCCCTGTGGTCATGTTTTGACAGACTTGAATCTAGACTCCAGAGGATGCTTCCAAATAAAAATGACTATAAGGCTTTCATGTTCTTGAAGATTTTTCATATGTACATGTATTCCTATTGCCCACTGTGGCCCCACTCTACCCCTGGGGGTCATGATTTGAACTATAACTTGAATCTACTTTACCCGTGGATGCTCCCATATAAATATGACTAATCGTGAAATTGCTGTACCCGGAGAAGATTTTTCCTACGTTTTCCTGCAATACTTTGATTGCCCAATTTGAACCCATCCTGTTCCCAAGGGTCATGATTTGAAAAACTCGAAACTACACAACCTGAGGATGTTTCTATTTATATATGACTAATCATGGCTTTGCTGTTCTTCATCAGATTTTTCTTAGATATACCTATACAAAACTTTATTTGCCCATAGTGGCCCTACCCTATCCCCGGGGTCAAGATTTGAACAAACTTGTATCTACACTACATGAGGATGCTTTCATATATGGCTTTGCTGTTCCTGGGAGAAAGATTTTTCGTTTTACTTTGCTTGCCCATTTTGACCCCGCCCTGCCCCCCCCCCCCCCCCCGGGATCTGATTTGAATAAACATGAATCTACACAACCTGAGGATGTTTCTATATAAATATGGCTGATCATGGCTTTGCTGTTCGTTAGAAGAATATTTCTAAAGATTTTTTTCCCTGATATTCTTATGTAAAACTTTGCCCATAGTGGCCCCATCCTATCCCCTGGGATCGTTATTTGAACAAATCTGAATCTACGTTACGTCAGGAAGCTTTCATTTAAGTTTCATCTTTTCTGGCCCAGCGGTTCTTGATAAGATTTTTAAATTACCCCACCCAGTTTTTACTATTTCTAAATTATCTCCCCTCGGAAGAGGGTGTGGCCCTTATTTTGAACAAACTTAAATCCCTTTTTTTACCCAAGGATATTCTATGTCAGGTTTAGTTGAAAATGGCCCAGTGGTTCTGAAGATAAAAAAGTTTTGACAACAATGGACGCGTTTTCATCAGAAAAACTCACTTGAGTCTTTGGCTCAGGTGGGCTAAAATAGGTGTTTTACGTCAATATTTTGATAACAAGTCACTGAGCACAGGTCTGCCCCCAACTTGAATATTCATATAATGTGTTGAATTATAATATCAATGAAATATGCGAATATTGTTCTGGGGCAAGCTTGCGCTCAATAAATTCCATACTCAAAACTGAACGAATTTTGACCATTTTGTCCTTTCTTGAAAATAACGGAAAATCCAAATAGTTTTTGAGATCACAGAAAAAAAGAATTGCCGATAATCTAATTCCAAACTATAATAATTTGTGCTGATTCAGATTTTTCACAAAATATATACAACTGTGTACATTACTAGAGATTTTTGTTAAATTTGGTTTTTATAGGGTCAAAATGTATGTATAAGTTCTTTCATGTTTTTTTGCCTCAAAACTCCTCAATGCCCTTTTGTCTTAATGTCAAATAACTTTATAATTGAGGGGCTATGCACTTTCAAAACAATTCCTTATGTACCTTTAGGAATCAAAAGATTTTCCCTTCTATAGGAATTTTTTACCAATTTCATACTTTTTATCCAAGTAATTACATGTTCCCATGTCAAACAACCTGATTAATTAACAAGAGGCCCATGGGCCACATAGCTCACCTGAGCACATTAGCTAGACACAAATCAGTTCAGTATTGAAAAAATTACTGGGGGTTTGGGGGGGGGGGTTGAATTTTAAACTACCTGATGATGCTTCCTTATCAATATAACAAATAGCTTTGTTGTACTTGAGAAGATTTTTAAAAAAATTTTCCCATACATTCCTTTGTAAAATTTTGATCCCCCATTGTGGCTCCTCCCTATCCCAGAGGTCATCATTTGAACAAACTTGAATCTACACTACCCGAGGATGCTTCCATATCAATATGACTAAACATGGCTTTTTTGTTCTTGAGAAGAAATATTTTTCTATGTGTTCTTATGTAACACTTTCGATCCCCATTGGGCCCCACCCTACCCCTGGGGGTTATCATTTGAAAAAAAAAAATGAATTTACACTACCTGAGGATGCTTCCATATCAAAATGACTAAACATGATTTTCATTTCTTGAGAAGAAGATATTTTCCAATATGTTCCTATGTAAAAATATTTTGATCCCCCATTGTGGCCCATCCCTATCCCCAGGGGTCATCATTTTAACAATCTTGAATCTACACTACCTGAGGATGCTTCCATATCAAAATGACTAATCATGGCTTTGCAGTTCTTCATCAGAAGATACCTTCCTATATATTTCTTTTTCAGACATTGATCCTCCATTGTGGCCCTGCCCTACCCCCGGGGGTCATGATTTGAACAAATTTGAATCTACACTACCTGAGGATGCTTCCACATGAGTTTCAATTTCCCTGGCTTTGTGGTTCTTGAGAAGAAGATTTTTAAAAGATGCTATTAATTTTTCACTAATTCTTTATTATCTCCCCTTGAAAGAGGGCGTGGCCCTTCATTTGAACAAACTTGAATCCCCTTCACCCAAGGATACTCCGTGCCAAGTTTGGTTGAAATTGGCCCAGTAGCGCTGGAGAAGAAGTTGAAATTGTGAAAAGTTTATGCCAACGACAACAGACAAATTTTGATCAGAAAAGCTCACTTGAGCCTTCGGCTCAGGTGAGCTAAAAAGTGGTCAAGTACTTTCAAAATATACCTGTTTGCAAAAGCCCCCTATAGGGGTTCCCCTATACCCTTACTAAGACCATCTTAAGAGAACATCTCCATGTAACTTACATTCATAAAATAGAAATACTTTTACCATGAATTTTATACATGTTTACCGGTACTTAGCTCATAATTTCGGCTTTGGTTATAACATAAAATTTTAGTTAAAAGTGGTCTTGGATTTTCATGCATTCAAAATCAAAGAATTGTATTTCATGCTTTATTGCATTATACATGTCTTGTATCAGATAAGTACCGTGTCTATGGCATAAACTATGATGAATGAATGTATACATGTACATGTGTATCAATACGAATTAAAAAAACAAAGCATCATTCTCATACACAATAAATGAAACAAAGTATCAGCAAAGTATCAACACAGTATCATTCTTTTGAGAGGTTTAAACACAAGACTTTTCATCATGATCTCAATTTCTGAACACATCACTGAAGGAAACAAAACTAGCTACTCTTCCAAATGTACAAAAATGAGAATGTATACTAGCATTACACAGCCATTTCCATGGCTATTTTAGGGTGAGGATTATACCCTACAATCTCAAAGTCCTCAAACTTAAACTCATCAATGTCTTCCACTTGTCTTTTGATCACTAACTTTGGAAACGATCTCGGCTTCCTCTGAAGTTGAATCTTCAATGGCTCCAGGTGATTGACATAGACATGGGCATCGCCCAGAGTGTGGACAAAATCACCGGGCTTTAGCCCAGTGATGTGGGCTATCATGTAAGTAAGTAATGAGTAGCTGGCAATGTTGAATGGTACACCAAGACCAATATCACCAGATCGCTGATACAGCTGGCAAGATAGCTCCCCATTACACACATAGAACTGGACAAAGGCATGGCAGGGAGGGAGAGCCATTTTCTTTAGGTCACATGGGTTCCACGCTGACATGATGATCCGTCTATCATCCGGGTTGTTCTTTATTTTATCAATCACCTCTTTTAGTTGGTCCACTCCCTGGCCTACAGAAAAAAAGTTTGTTTTTAGACCACAACAATTTGTAAAATAGTTCTTCAGATTTTTAAAAATAAAAAGCGAGGCAAGCTTGAGAGGGCAAAATAATCTTACATATATTATTATTCAATTGGGGGTTAAAAATTATGAGGCTAGCAAATACAATATAATTTTATAATTTGATATCAAAGAGCGAGCGCTTAAAAAATAAAGACTTAAAATTATTAGTTATCATTTGTATATCACATGAACTTATGATTTTTAACATTTTTGAGTTTCAAAAATAATTCATACCAAGTAATATTTTGCTACATTAAATAAGGTCTTTTTGAAGAATTTCCTCTCCAATTTGTTATCCAATCTATCAAATCATTAAAAAAATTCTGTGGTCTCGTTTGCCTGTAATTTTTCCAAGGAGAGAATTTTTGGAAGCATTCATGAAATGTAAAAATGTGTCTACTTTCTGTTTTTCATGTTTTGAATGAGGTACGTGTTCTGTACATTGCAATTTACATGTAGTTATATCTACAAACATTCTGTTCAGTTCGGTGCAAATTCCTAGGTACATGTCCGGTCTTGAAATCTCAATTACATCTCTCTTAGAATTTTTTTTAATTTTGATAGAGCAAACATCATCAACATTCCCCAAACCTTTCGTGGACTTTTCGATGTTCTCTTTATATTAACATCGAACAGCGCTTCAAAAGTTTCCTCGGCTTCTAGTTCAATTGCAGTATAAGGAAAAAAATCACATCCACTGTTTTTAACTATTGACATATCATGCATCTAAAGAGTAGACAGTCACACAATGACACCTTGTTACACAGTATGAGTTACCAAGTACGACCCGCGCTTCTGTCATTCTTCAACATGTGTTCTGAAGTCTTTTGTGCGTTTGGTTTAAAAAGTAAAAAAAATGTCCACAGATATTTTTGGATGCGCAGGATGACATATTTTTTGATAATATTATAATTTGGAATTGTTACAAATAGAAGCGGCGAATCCAACGAACTATATTGCAAATTGGTATGGCCTTATTGAGAATTAACATGAATACAAAACTGGTATCTTCATTCCCTTTCGATTTATAGCAACATGACATAACAGCAGCATTTTTTACCCCTTGGACAACTTTGAAATAAAGCAATATTATGTGGAGTTTACCTCAAACAAGGAATTATTGATTTGGTCAGTTTTTTTATAGTCATTACCTACAAATGATATTCATGTTTGATACTCAAAATTAAATAAATAATCAGTTTTTATGCACCTGGCTGTACTAATAATAAATTGTACTTTGCAAGTCAAAGATCATAGACATCAGTACTAGTAAGCATACTAAAACAAACTTGTTGTGTTACCTTTAATGCATGGTATATTTTGTGTTTTCTTACCAGTGTAGTCAGTGTGCATGTCTTTGTACTCTGCCCCAAAGTGTCGCCACTGGAATCCATAAACTGGGCCCAGGTCCCCCTCCTCCCTGTGTGTCAAACCAAGGTTGTCCAGAAACTCCCTTGAGCCATTAGCATCCCAGATGTGGATGCCCTTTTCACTGAGTTTCTTGCCATTTGTACAGCCCTGAACAAACCATAACAGTTCCTCAGCCACACCCCGCCAGAATACTCGCTTTGTTGTAAGCAGAGGGAAAGAATCTCGCAGATTGTATCTACAAAGTAGTATTTTTTTGTAAATACATTTTTTTTTTTGGTAATTAAACATAGAGTGACGAGAAGTTCAGTGAACAGAAACAAACTCTCAATCTTAAACTTGTGAACATTATTTGATACAAGATTAAACTTTAGAATATTTCAAATTGTGATATCATGAAAGAAAACTGCATTCTAATTAAAAACTTCAAAATACAACCATTCATGATCATTGTCATGTAATGAACTGCATCCACCTAATGATAAATGCCAACTGCTTAGTGTCAAAGGACCTACTCCTTTTGGAAATGAATCTCTCCCTTCATACATAAACTATTTCGGGTCATATCCAACAATAAGTTGTTTATGTACAAATTAATAAACAATTGCAAACGTAAAAGAAACTTACACTTAAGACTATAAGGATAATAAATAGGGACGTGCCATTTTATTGGTATACTAGTATATCGTGATTTTTAATTGCATGATATGTATCGTGATACTGAGACTAAAATACCAGTTTTTAGGTAAGTAATTATAAATTCCAGAAATTATTTATTTATTTGTTCAATCTTGAATTACAATTACAGGACAATGTTTTTTTTTTTTTCAGTACTTTGGGACTGGGGGCTGGGGCCCTCAGAATTGGGAATTTCAGCATCAATTAGGCTAAACTTGGAATTTCCATGAAAACCCAGTCACATAAAAAGGATTGTCAAAAAACATTGTTTTTGTCTTTGAATATTACTTTAAGGTGGTATGGGATACCAAACGAAACTTCTCCTACATATTTATGTACCCAAATTAGAAGGATTTGAAATACCCCCACCTTTCAGTATATTAAAGTGTAATTTTAATAATTTTTTTATTATTTTAATGAGAAATACAAAAACGATTTTTTTTCTTGCATAATTCTTTTTTCATAAGCTTAATATTATAGGCAGGCGTTTGCTAATATAAAGTGTTTATAAAAACAAAAATGACAAGAAATATGTTTTAGTATTTTTTTAATTTTCAACAAAAAATAAGCGTAAAAAACTGGGAAAACTTTATTTCTTGAAAACAGACGGATAACATTTCATGAAAGTCTACAATAAGAATGTATCTTAATATGTTAGCAAAGTGAAATAAAAAAATTGAAAATATATATATAAATGGAAAATATAAAATGCATTTAAAATTTTTTGAATTAAAAGATCCGAGCGGAAGAGTTATCCTTCTTTATTTTCCAAGGGTTGAAAAAACCTGGGTGCTATTTTAGAAATGATGAGCATTTTTTCCCAACCATAAAAAATCGCACTTTGTAGTTTTCAACTTTGAGCGGTTTTGAAAACAATGCATGGACAATCGCTTTCCAGGACGTGTCTTGTTCAGAGCAATTGCATTCATCTGAACGTTTTGGGACTATATACAACAGCTAGCTGATTTGTGACCAAACAGTTACTTCTTGAATTAAATAACAAAAAAGTCCAGCTCTGGTTAACGTGATAATTGATTGGTGATAATTCAGCACAATGTGAAGTAATCGCACTTATCCATGCCTCACCGCACACAAGGTGCTGTACAGTTACTCAAACAATTGAAATACAGCTTTTGCTTAAAAGTATTCAAAAGCAGCAATGTTGAAACTACCTTTTACAGGGGTTTGCTTTTTTAAATGTCCGTTGTACAATTATAAGTAAATTTATATACCTGCGATTTTTTTGTCTGTTTTTACTTAAAATGCCGACTTGTGAGAACTTGCATTGAAATAGGCTTCAGAGTGTTCTTTTCAATGGTGTATCTACAAATTTTGACCCGATAATAAGCACTCATGCAAATCAAAACAATACTTCAAACGGAAATACGTCATAACGTGGAGGTATCCCATACTACCTTAAGTAACAATTGTTTGTAACAAATCAAGACTATTCTTGGTATGAATTATCTAATTACTTATAGCAAGAAAAATAGTGGTATGAATTATCTAATCATGAAGGAATCCAGCATGACTGATCAACAAAAACTGCTTGAACTTTACTGAGAAACATGCAATAAACAAACTGAATTTGATCACATATTTTGTAAGTTTTTCTTTAAGAAAACTTCCACTATATTTTGGGAAAATACAGGCATATTTTCAATTGGGACTGGGGCCGAATTTCGGCCCCAAATCGGCCCTAAAAAAAATCACTGTAGGAAGTGTAAAAAATGCTGAAAACGGTACAAGAACGACATCCTAGCATCCAAACATAGTTTATATTAATATGTAAATAAAAAAGTGAAGTTATGTTTTTCCAACATATTTCTTAAATTGCTTGTAAAAATATCATGATATTATCATGATACTTTTGGAAAAAATTGTGATATATCGTGATACGAAATCTTTGGCGATACCGATCCCTTATAATCAAGACTAACTTGTCTCCCTTCGATGTGATGGCACCTTTGCAGGGGCATAGCTTGACTTAAAATTCTAGTGATCAAAACTATTGTGCCCCGGGGTCTGGGGGCCGCCTCCAACATTTTATTGATTTGTTTAAATTTTAAATAAAAAGTATTAGTTTTAAAAATGTATTAAATATTTTCTGCAATGTATTATTCATTATAGAAAGGGGATGTTGCTGAAAAATCTAGTGAGGCAGTTGCCTCATTGCCACAATGGAATCTACACTCTGCTTTGCCATGGTATGCTTGGTGGATCATGTAATATTTTGTGCGACACAAAAATGGTTTTAAATTCAGAATTTTAGGCACTGTTAGTGTAAATGGCAATACAAATGCTCAAAATTGAGGCCAGGGGCCTTTACCCCTCTGTAGAGCTCTCAGCCCTAGAGGCTAGACACCAGTTATCTTTCCTAAATATTTTCCCCCATACCCGGCTAAAACAGGCCCGTAGAAGGCGCGGGGGGCCAGGCCCCCCTACTTTTTTCTCAGTGTAGTATTTTGCTATATTAAATTTTCCTTCAGATGCCGATTCCCCCCCCCCCCTTTTTATGTTGTAAGGTTGAGCACTAGCAATTTCTGGGATTTGGACAGTAAATAAACTTTTTTTTATTTTGCTTGTCAGATAATTTTGGGAAGTTGCCCCCCCCCCTTTGGTCAATGTAGTTTTTTTTTTTTTTTTTTTGCTTGTCAGATTTGGGGGGGGGGGGAGTTGCCCCCCCCCCCCCTTGAAACCGTTGCTACGGGCCTGTAAGAGCTATACAACCAAATCAAGAGATTGTGCTGGACCTGCTCTGGCTCTGAGCTGAGCCATTATTAATTTGGGGTAGGAATGAGTAGGATCATAATTATTTTTTATTGGTAGGAACCCTCTTAGGAAAAAATCTCGTTTCAACTGTTCAAAGTATACTAGTAGTTAGCATGCACTGAATTTTTAATTTGTCTCAATATTAACAAAATAAAAAACCTCATTTGCATCCCGAAGATAGATAAAGTATCGATGCCTGTTCTGTTGCTTTTTCTATGCCCGTGGTCAATAACACGCTGCACGGCTTCTAAATAAAGTTCTTCGTCGTGTCTTTTTTCTTTAGAATCTACATTTTTTATTCCATTCACACGGTCCCCGTGATCATTGCCTGTTTCCATGTCTGTCATCTTTGTCTTTTTGAAGTTTTTCCCTCCACTTTTGCACTTCGGCGCCATATGTCTGTATACGCAAAACCTGTTGAAATCCGACAGAAAATATTTCTGTCATGAAAACCAAATTAAATAGTAGATAAACGTCTGAAATTATTAAAACATTCAATTACTCCTTGTTTTTCTATTTTAAATTTATTCAATAGTCGCTGAAAATTTTTAAATTATATTAGCAGATTAGGAAGTGCAAATTAATAGAACTTGTGTATCTAACGTTATATCACAAGTCCATACCGATTGAATCCATCAAAATAGTTGAGTTTAGCGATATTAAGAAAGTTGATTGGACAAAATTTCTTGGTATTAATGAAGTGCAACATTCTGTGCACGCCATCAAATTACAAAATGTTCAATTTATTTTCTCAAAGGGGTATTAGTCATAACAATTATTACAGAAGGTGCAAGGTTGTCTCGTCACCGGGGCAGTTGAGCACCTAAGTACTACAAAATATGTCAAATTACATTCAATAATATTTTTGTATGTAACATGGTTGTATGCCAACATGTTTGGTGAATCAATAAATAAATTGAATTGAATTGAATATAAAAAAAGCCCAAGGTTTGGAGATTCTATAACATAGGGATTGTGTTTCCATGGGGGTTAGAGGGGGGGGGGGAGGTAAGGGGGTGTTCTAAGATCTTTTTTATTACTTTAACTTTGAAATTTAGTTAATACCTCTAAAACTCTCCCCTGACCCCCACCCACTTCAGTCTCTGGATCCGAGCATTGTGGGGTACATTGCAGATGCATGTTGCGTTGTCATGTTTGTGAATGCATTTTTTTTTTCTCTTTCATTAAAGGCGGTAATTGTTGTTTTTTAAAGTCTGATCATCAAGTTCTTTCCTGATTACTTAATAAATCAATCTGAGCAAATTTTCTTGACCATACCTGTTCTACTTAAAAAAAAAAAAGGGGGGGGGGCAGATAGCAATCTTTATAACATTTGTAATATTCACTATCTCTTTAAATTCAGAAATGTAGGTTGTTTCAAGTTAAAAAAAATATATAACACGACGTTTTGAAAAAAATAAATGAAAATAAACAATCTATGACACTTTCATGTTGTTTTAGTATCCTTGGGTAAAAAGGCTTCAAGTTTTCTTTTTTTTTTTTCAAATGAAGGGCCACACCCTCTTTCGAGGGAAGATAAGAAAAAGTAAAAATTGGGTGTGGTCATTTAAAAAATTTCTCAAGAACCAATACCAGAAAAGATAGAAGTTATGTGAATTCAAAGCTTTCTGACATAATGAAGATTCAAAATCTGACCCTCGGGGGTAAGGTGGGACCACTATGGGCGATCAAAATTTTACAAGGGAATAAGTGGGAAAAATCTTTTTCTTAAGAATAGGAAAGCCATGCCAGATTAATCATATCTGTATATGAAAGTATCCTCATGTTGTATAGATTCAAGTTTGTACAAATCATGATCCCTGGGGTAGGGAGGAGCTACATGTACAAACAATGGGGATAAAAGATTTCTGTTTTCCGTAGAATACTTAGGAGAAATCTTCAAAAAAATCTGATGAAGAAGAACAGCAAAGCCATGATCAGTCATACATATATATATATATATATATATATATATATATATATATATATATATATATATATATATATATATATATATATATATATATATATATATACATACATAATGGACGATCAAAGTTTTACAGGGGAATGTATACAAAAACTTAAAAAATGTGTGGTTTTTTTCAGGAAGAAAAAAGTCATGATTAGTCATATTAATAAAAAAAAAATCCTCAGATAGTGTAGATTTAGGTCTGTTAAAATCATAATCTCTGGGAATAGGCTGGGACTACAATGGGTGATCAAATTTTACTCGAGAAATATATAGGAATCTGCTGATGAACAAGAGGGGCCACAGTGATTCAGGTGAGCGTTTTGGTCCATAGGACTCTTGCTTAAATAATTTTATATTCTTAATACATGTAATTGGATGCTTTAGAAATTTTTAGGTGGTTGGGGGTCAAACCCACCTCTAATTTAAATTTACGTAAAATTTTTTTGACAAAAAATAAATAGGGATGTAAAACAACATAGTTATTACATACATCAATCAATCCAAAAAAAAAAAAAAGATTAAATAAATAAATAAATAAATAAATAAAAAAAAAATTAATTAAAAAAAATAAAAAATAAAAAAGTTAAATAAAAAATATTACATTTATGTATATGATTTTCCTCTCCTTTTACAAATTCAAACCTATACAGTTAAAAAAAAGAGGAGGGGGATCTGTCATGATTTACTTGAGAAAAAGATGGATCTCATCTCCCATTGCACCAGAATTGAATAAATTTGCACTGTAACAGATCTGCTCATTTCTATGTATTCTACTTATTTCTATCATCAATTTTCTAGCAAATCAAAATTCTATCATCAATTTTCTGGCAATCAAAATTTTATGGACTAGCTCTGATCGTTTCAAATCGGCGGGAAACATATCGCTACCATTTCCAAAGACACCAAAGGGGTGTGATAGGCCATATTTCAAACTATATGGGAAAAAAATTATTGTTGAATATCTTTCATATAATATATAAAGAGAGATTTATATCTATTGTGAACTACCTTAATTAGGGCATAAGTACCATAAAATGTGAACTTTCTGAGAATGACAAAAACAATGTCAAGAATGTATTGACAAACGTGTAATTTATATTAGTTAAAGGATTGTCATATACTGATTTCATGTTTGTTATTGCAAAATTTTAAAATATAAAGGTTTCTGAAGAGAAACAAACTCTTTATAGCTTAGTTTTTTACCATTTCAATCATACCTAGGAAGGGGTGGATAAAGATTGCATATTCCACAAACAATTTTGAGTATGTCATCTAAATGTTGACAAATTGTAACAGGAACTTCAAATTTCAGTAAGAGAAAGAATTTAATACATCTTATGGCTTGTTCTACATATATTCTCCTATTTTCTATTTCTTTTGTTTTCTGTACATCATACGCAGCCACCTGTGCAATACCATGCCTTCCTGGAGGAACAAGCAAGTTTGCATGAGAAAGCGTCAGCTCTTCCATAAGATCACTGAACTCTTTGTCAGCCATGACGCTAGGAAATCAAGGAAGCCAGAGTTCATTGCTATACATTTGTCACTAGCTCTACCTCCCCAACAGTTTGACACAAAATTGATCATTCCTGCTGGAGTGATACAAGGAATTTTGCAGTATAGTGATGTTTGTAATCACTCCAGCACTGGTTTGTAACCATCATATTCTGAGGTTTCTCAATGAAGAATTCGGAACAATCAATAATGTGTCGAACTGAGGAGTATTTCTGTGTTTTGAATTTTGGGGGAAGATTTGCACGAACAACTTCTTTTGGAGGATTGAAAACTAGCTTACCAAGATATTTGCTAAGAATCTTCAACCAAGTGGTAAAAATTCTTGATACATACAACACAGAAAACCTGTCAGCTAAATCTTCATCCAGTAACCCAAGACGGATTTTCATTAAGGTTAAAAGTAACTCATCTTTTGTAGACAACTTTCTAGAGGCCCTAAATTTCTTGAAAATCTTATGTTTCAGTGTACTGCAATGGAAGGATGGACCCTTCCAGTACCTTACACTTTTCAGCTTAGGTTCAAGAGCATTATGTGGAGCATTGAATGAACTCAGTGAAGGAAAACCTGTATAAAACCTAACTTTTTTGTCAGATTTTAAAGTGTCAGTAGGTTTTACATTGAACGTTTTTCTCTTCAGCTTGTGATTCTCTTCCCTTGACTTGGCAAGTTCATATTCAAGAACTTTGATTTTTGATTTAAAATTTCAACACTTTTGTACATGCAAGGATCACAAACTTCAACATAATCATGATCAAAAGAAACACTTTGTTTTAAATCATCTTTGTCCAATTGATGATCATTCTCTCTCACTTCATCTTGAAATTTTCTTTTTTTGATTGCATGAGAGAAATCTTTTTTTTCTTTTGGGGAGCTCTTCCTTGCTTTACTGGATTAGAGTGACCCATGTGTAGAGTACATAGGGTAGGGATTAAGTGTACTTGGTTTCCCATCTACAAAATATGGTATGAGTACACCTTTGAGTAGTAGGAATCTGGCTCCCAGTTGTGATTCCCTGAGGAACGATTTACATTTTTTACCCAGACAGCTCTTGCATGAGAGTCTTTTGCCACAGTTCGGAATGGAATGAGGACAAATGGAGGTTCACAAATACATTTTCCTGTTCCATAATTTGTATTATGAATTGAACAAAATTGTTGTCTCCATTTTTGTAATGTATACCACCTGTTTGTGCATCCTTTCACACAACAGCTTCTTTTAGACATAATAAGATTAAAACAGAGTTTGTGATTATTAGCACAAAGCTTTTGGAAGTTGTAAAAAACTGTCAACAACGTAAGTAAAACACAACACAAAAAAACACATTTACCGACATTAATTAGTGCTGAATATCTGAAAATATGCATTAGTATTCCCGTCACCAAAAAACTTTATGCTTGTGGTTTATTAATCAAATTTCTAACTAGTGTGACAGAAAACAAAGCGAAGTGAAAGTAGAGAGCAGACAATTTCATAGGTTCCACTCACCTATTTTACAAGCTCAAATTTAAGAAAAATGAATGAAGCTTTATAGTCTTGAACTCTCGATAGTAACCTTTGAACATTTTTTCTGACTGCTATAATTTTTTTCAACTTACGTGCTTAATAAATGTGTTATAAGCGGTTATAAACATGATGATCAGTGTCTTCGTTCGATGGTTTACAGACATCAGTAACCCGGATGTAATTTTTTTTCCCTATGACCTCTGACCTGACCACTCTCCTATGCAGCGTTGTCGTTCGTTCCTCTCGGACGTCTTTGAATGTATGAGCCGATGGTAGGGAGTGTGAATGTATGAGCCGATGGTAGAGAGTGGACGTTTTAGTGCGCGATAAGCCTATAAAGTAACATACAAAACCTCTTGATCCGGATGAAGCCTTGAACAGAGGAAGAATCTATGAGTACTAGATGAAATCCCGCGCAAGCGCGGGGAATTGAATTTATACCACTACCGATAGAAAATATATTGTAGTTTCTACTGACAGCCTACAGGGTATAGCAGGAAGAAATACTTTGTTCAAAATCCCACATACATGTGCGTCTCCACCCCACGTACCCCCCACCCCCTTTTGTAAAAAATTGAAAAAATAACAATTTCATTAATTGATATTTATTGTGAAACCTGTTATACTATGTTATGGATATATTGTATGCTCTTATTTCATTCCCGTTAAGGATAAATTAAAAGCAGCGAATATGCACATTTTACTGATAAATTGATTTTTGGGGGGGGGGGGGAGGGGTAAAATTTCACAGGTACTTGTGTCTTGGTTTATAAATATGTATATACCTTATCACGGTCAGAAAAATTGTGTAGATACATGTATAAGATCATTGGCCTTGTCATGATTTGCTCTTTTTAGGAGCGATTTTTTTTATTTCTAAATTCTTAAATTATTTGTGCATAAATAATTTTAGAGAGTGTTACTTTTATCTATTGATTATGGTGTTCTGCAGGTTTCATGCATTTCACTCGACCCAGTAAATCAACATTAAGTCATTTTCTGTCTAAATATATTATTTCAAATGAATTTGATGCATTGGAAATGAAATTCAAACAAACGGAAGCACGGAAAAGGTGGGGGGGGGGGGGGGGAGGAGGATGTCTATTACCGCGGTCAGAAAAATTGTGTAGATACATGTATAAGATCATTGGCCTTGTCATGATTTGCTCTTTTTAGGAGCGTTTTTTTTAATTTCTAAATTCTTAAATTATTTGTGCATAAATAATTTTAGAGAGTGTTACTTTTATCTATTGATTATGGTGTTCTGCAGGTTTCATGCATTTCACTCGACCCAGTAAATCAACATTAAGTCATTTTCTGTCTAAATATATTATTTCAAATGAATTTGATGCATTGGAAATGAAATTCAAACAAACGGAAGCACGGAAAAGGGGGGGGGGGAGGAGGATGTCTTTTACCATGCCAAGAAAAGGTACGCATTCTAGTTTTAGATCGAACTCAATAAAAGCGGAATTAGCGTTAATCTGTGATTTTTCCCCAGGGAGATGTGTGCGAGGCAATTAATGTCAGCAGTTTTGAGGGAAGGATCTTAAGTTTTACTGGTTTGAAATTAAAACTAGAATACTTATTATTTAGAAGCCTTTGCACCTTTTTTCCTGTTGTTTTTTTTTTAAAGGGGGGGGGGATTTTCCATGCAAATCATATGCGGTTAAAAAAGTAAAAAAAAGAAGAAAAAGAAAGTGAAATAAATTGTAGTGAACTAATTAATTGTTCAGTAAAAATTAGACGCCTTTCAAATTTTTCAGTGTTTATATATCAAAATATTTTTTTCCTAGTATAAATTAACATCGGGCACGATGAACTTGGTTGTTTTGGAAGTTTCGTGCCTTATTAAGGTATCATACCGGTAATTGACCAATGAAAATGAACTTAGTCAATTGTAGTTCCATACATATAAAATTATTTTTTCCTTTTGAATTTTTTTTTTATTTCCTTCCAGTCTATTTTTTTTTTTTTTTTTTTTTTTTTTTTTTTTTTTTTTTTTTTTTTACAATTTTGGTACCTGTATCTAGTGCATTTTACATTTTTTTGTAAATAAATAAAGGTTTTTGACAGGAACTATTTTTTTAGGGCATAGGAGGCTACTTCCTGGGGTAGAAGTTTTTTTTTCTTTGACTAAGAAAACGGAAAACTTAGGATCCACCCCTTCAAATCTGCTGCCGTTAATTGTCTCGCCAGCGTTAGAGGAATATGGGTGATTTGCATCAATTACACTTTTATTGACTCCATCGCTGTGGAAAAATGGACGGGATTTCTTGGCATGTTGATACGTAAAAAATTTACCTTTTTTACATATCAATAAGGTTCATACATATACAAAAACCAAGACGCAAGTATCTGACTGTGTAAAAAATTAGCTTTTAACGCCCTATGAATAAGCCGAGTATTTGATACAAAAGACTGTATTAAAAAAAAAAACAAAAAAACAAAAAAAAATAAACAACAACAACAACAAACAAACAAACAAACTGAAATGTATAATGTATTGATTAAAGCACAAAATTTTACAGCTTTAATTGTATTTGAACAATATCTTATTCATTATTTTCTCTTTTCATGTAAGCAGTGAGGAATAATATATACACATTTTACCGATAAAGAATCTGGGGGGATAAGACGAGCCATGTGCCCACGCCCATTTTTCGGCTATGCAAGAACATTTATTGGAAAAAATCACTCAATTGTTCGAATTTACTTAAGCATTTTAATGTTTACCGTAGTTTTCAAAATGATATTTATATTCTAAACAAGCTAAACAGTTGACTTTCATTTACTGTCACAAATGTCTAACATGGGCAAGGACTTCTATTAATTAATCTGCATATTGAGTGTTTACACTTATTGTGGAGATATTATAAAAATGTTAACATCGTATATAATGATAATGGTGATCTAGAAGCGCTTTTATTTAAAATAAATAAAAACGGGAATAAAAGTTTTCAAATATCTATTATAATTTTTATCCGGCATTTTAAATTTACTGTAAATAAGTTCATTACTACATCTATATATTTTATTTCCAGCGAAAAATATGCTATTCCTATAGACATATTTTATAAAGTAAAACAAAATTAAAATAAAAAAAAAAATAAATTAAAAAAAAAAAAAAAAAATCAAAAAATTAGACCATCACTCGAACACTTTCCTCAATAAACGTCCCTTTAAAGAGCTCCTCGCTAACCACTTGACCACGGAGGCACACATACATGTCTATTTAAATAGCATACAGTTCTCTATATTTAGCAAGCGTTTTTGGACTTAGAATTTTTTAAGACCACGGTGAAAATTTAAATAAGTTAACTTAATTTTTTATGTAGAGTGGGTCTTCATACCAAATTTTTGCAAGTGTAAAAAGCAACATCTTTCCATTGCCTTTCATTAATCGTTCTCAAAAAAATGGTACGATGACCCACTCTATTTAAAAAATGTAGTTATATCATCCAATTTATGTCAGTTTCTGTGAAAATTGAGCGTGATGCCATTTTGTTGTGTTAATCAGAATCATTTTCGCTGTTACAGTATTCAGGTTTTGTCAAATTTATATGCAAATGGTAATAAGCATTACATTAATTAAACAAAAAGTGAAATTTTTGTAAAATGAATTTATTGATTTTCTATCGATCGTTATGTAGGCATATGGCACGGCTTATCCCCCCAGTTTCTTTATTAGGAAAACCTACTACATATATGTAATAGTCTTTCGATATATAAATATATTCACAACTTATAGTGTTATCAACGATTTACCATTATTTCAATGACCATTCACACATAAGCTTTTCTCATGTTCCTACAGCTATAATTGTCTCGTTTTTCTTTTCAACATCGGGCTCGATGCTATATGATGTTCTAGAAGCTTCCGTCAATATTAAGATCGGTGAATGACAAAAATAATTTGCACATTTCCCTTTTTAATCGGTTATCACAACTTATTTCTTTTATGTCATTTAAATCAAGTTTTGATCGAATAATTCAGTGATGACGTTTTATGAAATAAATACACGATTGATTGTTGTTAGTTTCATTGAAAATTGCCAGAAACTTAGATCCGCCAACCGGAAACGCCACCGTACTCACGTTTTTGCTATTTCATGGCTGTTTATAGAAAATAAAAGTAGACTTTTAATTTAATGTACGATACTTGCAATGCGAGTGAAATCTAAATATAGTTTACGGACATCATATTGTATCTGTTGTATTCTTAGAGGAGTAAGTAAAAACTCTGGTGCATCCGTTTCGGAGTTTATTTGCAAAATTTAATGAGGCCAAAATCTATACTTATAAATTAATAATTTATTAATTTATAAGTATAGATTTTGGCCTCCTCGGAAATATAATAGGATTTTGGTTGCTTAATATATCTCTATGTTATTGACATTATGTTAAAATCTTACAGTTTTTCCATCAATATTTTTACACTATTAGACTATCCATTCGTAACTATACTCGGCCATTTTCCGAGAGAGAAATAATTAATTATTAAATAAAATAATTATTTCTCTCTCGGAAAATGGCCGAGTAGTTACGAATGTTAGACTATCCGGGAAATTAAGTCGAACCGATCTTCTTCTTAATTTTAGAAGTCAAACATCCGGTGAATTTTTGGTGAGAAACTGAAATAATGTTCTGTGAAAAATCAAAGGGGCATTTGTGTTCGGTAATCGTTTTCAGAACTCCCAATATATTCAACTTAGCAATAATTTTTTTAAAGTTAACTTTGTTTGAATTCAGATTTCAGTCGAATGTCTAAGAGTTAACGTTACAAAATCCACTTCTGAATTTACTTTCTGTCAAAACATCGCAATAAATATCGAATTCAAGGATAAAAGAAATTTCAAATTGTTTATACGTTATGTATTTCAGAAAACAAGCAATGCAATTAAAGTACATTCAAGTACATGAAACATCATTATTAACGTCTAAGTGTGATATTTACCATTTTAACCTGTTAGAATTTTCCTGCCCTTATAGAAACGTCTGGAATCAAATGTAAACGTCCATCCCATCTACCTGTTCACACGAGTCCATTCAACAGGTTGGGAACAGTTCCTTTTTCGGGGAAGTATTACTATAAAACGGGATTATTCCTCTTTTCAGTAATAAAAACATTACTGTGTACGGG